CATTTTCAAACGCCCAGATTTATAAAGCGTTCGAAGTTAAACAAAGGAGTCTGTGCAAAACAACTTGTAAACAAAGGGGGACCGTGCTTGTATAGCAATGCATGTTTCAAATAGGTAAGTTATGATATATTTAACTAGTTATTTATAGTATAATTAATCTAATTTTTAATGTTAAATAGGACATCACTCGAATCGAAGCATTTCGTAAGGCTAATACCGATCATCAAGGGGTATTTACTAGTAATGCAGTCGAGCAACTATACATTAGTGGTTAATTTGTATTTTCATAGAAGTGTTTATATTTTCAAGGGGTATTTAGTAATCTAATTTTTATGATGTTTATCATTTTTTGAAAATACATAATGTTTTACTCCAAGAGATCAATCAACAAACTCAATATTCTTCTAAAGCAAGCGGTCTAACACCAAAGGATATACACAATTGTTTTGAAAGAATATTAGGTTCTCGGCGAGGATACATCAGAGGCATCGGGCATAAACCTTCTACGACTGTGTCTATATACGATCATGAACAACCATTGACACAGCCATCACCACAATCATAGGTAATTGTTAGTTTAAGTGTATTTGAAAATTACATAATGGAAAACGAAAAAAAGCAGGATTCAATAATCATCATTACCATAATTTGTAAAGTAGAATTCTATAATGATATGTTGGTAATTGTTTGTTTAGTACAGTACAATGTTATAATGGAAAAATGAAAAAAGTACAATGCTATAGTGTATATGCAATATTGTGTAGGATGTAGTTTGGTTATAATCTGATATATTGGTACTTTGTAGTTTGGTAATTTTTGGAAAGTACAATGCTATAATGGAAAAATGAAAAAAAGTACAATGTTATAATGTATATGCAATATTGTGTATGATGTAGTTTGGTTATAGTTTGATATGTTGGTATTTTGTAGTTTGGTAATTTTTTTAAAGTACAATGCTATAATAGCAAAATGAAATATAGTACAATGCTATAATGTATACGAAATATTGTGTGCGATGTATTTTAAGTGTTGGAAAGTAGAATGCTATAATGATATGTTGGTTACAGTTTCATTGTTGGTACTTTGTATATTGGTAATTTTTTGAAATTCTGCAATCAATGCTAAAAGGCAAGTCCTGTAGTGCGGCACCGAAAGACTGATTTCGATCGTTGTCGTCACGAAGTGAAAACTCAGGAAATGAGGGGAGTGATAAGGACGAGTAGCTACTTTTTAGGATTTATTAAATGTTTTGTTTAGGTTAGTATTTTGGATATATTTCACTATGTTTGGATGAATATTTTGGACCGGATGTATATGGATTAAAATTTTAGATCGGATATAGTATTAAGTGTGGTTAATGTTTTGTACTATTTTTCTACAAAACAAAGTTTTGTAGTAGTTTTTACACATGTTATATTGTTTTTTATAATTTTAATGTTGGATACAAAAAAAGGAAAATACAATTAGCGGCGACGCCTTTAGTGGCGATGAGTATGTATTCGTGATGACATGTCTTTTGTGGCGACCATGGGAATTAGCAGCGACTTGGAATTTGCTGCGAAACTGAGTATTAAGGGCGACATATGGAGCATTTGCAGCGAGGCAACAACGGACACCTTTTTAGCAGCGACACGTCGACACAAAAGGACTTAGCGGTGATATACCTAGGTTTTAGCGGCAACGTCTTTTGCCGCTAATGCTCGCGTTTCTTGTAGTGTACCCACTAGAAAAAGTGAGCTTCAAGAGGTTTTGGTTGGTTCATAACCGACTCTAGCATTCTAAAGTTGGACATACAATAAATGACCAAATTGTCTAAGACCGTTTTCATAAGAGTTAATCAAATGGATAAATTCTTAGTTTTACAAGTAGACAACTTGGAAATAAATTTATCCATAACAATCTTCTATTTATCAATGTAGTACATGTTCTCTCTAATAGAAACTTGAGTAAAATTGATCCCGACCGTAATTAACTTACTTTTTTATAAGTTAAATTTAATACCCAATGCCAAGAAGAAGCATCGAAGAAACCTCATTATTAGTCTCAAGTTCTCTAAAACTAAACTCACATAATAAGATAACATCGTCCATATAATGAAAATAAGAAATCTCAAACTCTGAAATCCCAATTTTTAGACTACAAAAGCGTTTTCCATTTGGCGTTATGTAAAGTAATGTGAAAGCCCTCTATCGTAAATATAATGTGGAAGAAGAAAGAGGGTCACCCTATCACAGAACCAGGTAAATAAAAAAACTCGTCAATCAAGATACCATTTATTGGCGTTTTTCAATTACAATGAGAATGTACTTGTGGAATTTCACATAAGACTTATGGGTAAAGCAACCTAAAAGATTCTATGGCTTTTCACTATTAAAAACAACATACTTTATGAAACAAAACTAGAACCCTAATGGTAATCTAAAATCATAGATAAGAAACATACCTTTTAGTATATTCAAATATACTAACTCTCTTAGTTCTTGAAATGTTCCATGGAAATCAAGTGCCAATAATGTGAACGCCTCTAATGTTTCACACCCAAAACCCTATAACACTAGAAAGACAAGAAGAAAGAGGTTGGAAGAATAAAATTTCGTTCTCCACCTTCTAGATATCATAAGCCACAAATTTGTGATGCCCACGGGTCCTATGTATAGTTTAGGTAACATGCAGATAAATCCAGATTTGAACAACTAAATATTAGATTTAATCTCAGTTCAAATTTTTTTCCTTATCAGCAATCGAGAGCCTTCCAAAAACCATAGAAACTCCCTTAAAACTATCCCCACGATGGGAGGTTCTAGAATTGTTCCTTTTGTTCAATTATTGAACAATTACAATTCAACAATTGCACCTTTAATTAATTCCAATTAATCCCGAATTAATTTCTTACTAATAAGTAATTAATTCCATCTATTTTTAATTAATTTATTAATCACATAGTATATTACAGAAATCATTTTATCTCTCTCCTAATATCAAATCTAGTTATTTCTAGTTACGAGGGCAACCCAAAGAGGAATTTACCTTTATTCCATAAAGTTATATCAATTTAGTAATGACATTGGAGACTTATTCCAATAGAGACCCACTTGGACAAGTTAGCAAACTAAAATTGAAAATATAGACTTTGAATAACTAGTAAAGAGTGCTTTTCACAGCCACTGCCGAACTGTGATAAAATCAAACGTTGGTCCTAAGATAAGTGATGAACTATTCGTTAGTTCTACAAGATATCATATGGACATGAGACATGGATATAAATCAATCTCACGTTCCAAGATTTTGTTTCTTAATTTCCGATTTATGATGTGATAGCTTATTTTATTTCCTTATTTTTATTAGTTTATTTTAGTATTTTTAGCTCTTTTTATTAATATTGCATTGTATATTCTTTATTTTCTTTATCATAGATCGTGTCGGGTACTTTCTATTTTGCATGAGAAATTTTGTAGGGTTTTGGAGCTTATTGCAGTTGCGGTTTGAATGTAGTTGGGCTTTGTGGGCTTTCGAGACATTATTGGGCTTTGCGGATCCATTAAAGGAGATTTGGGCTCAAAAAGCTAAAGACTTGGATGAAGTGGGCTTGTGAAGATGGGTCATGGATTGTTATTTTGGGCTTGGAGCATCCGTATTTGAAGCTAAAAGATGATTGGTTAATTTGATTCATGTGGGATATGGAGGGGACCAAGGGAATCTTGTGTAGTGGGATGGTTAGTGGAGGAAAAATTAGCCAATAGCATTCCAGCAATATTTGCGCGGGTGGAATCTCACTTGCGCGGGTACCCGCGCAACTGCCCAGTTTTAGGCATTTTTGTCATTTGGCTTACCATTTCCTTTAGAGGTTGGATCTTTCAGCTATGACTTCGATTTTACACCATTGGAGACCAGAAGAAGGCGATTTTGGAGCTTGAGCCTCATTTCTTTTCATCTTTCCAAGCTATTGGTAGTTTCTTTATGCAATTAGACTTTTGTGATTGTTATTCTATTGCCATGAGTGGCTAAATTCTCTATTTTGGTTAGCCTTGGCTAAAACCTTTGAATGTTTGTGGGTTTTTGAAGGATTCATGTTTATTTATCATTTATCTTATGTATATGATTCTATTTCATATTTCCTATGCTTGTTTAATGCTTTAATCATGAGCTTGGTACTTGAATAAGCAATTGTTGGTTTATTTCTTTGGTTTAACATTGAATCATTGAATTTACTTAGAACAAGGGCTTTATGATGGTAGAAATCATCTCTAGCTTATGAATCATAACTCCTTTATGGATGTGTAAGCATTGACATCCTCTAGGAATTGGGGATTCCTTTATTCTTAAGGCTAATCAACTTCTTGGGTTCAATTGGATCGTTGATTTTGATTAAGAAGGTGTGTTGTGGGCTTCCCCAACCTTCATACTACCTATAAGGAATCTTCGCATATCATGCTTCATGATTTCTATAACCGATTTGGGATGAATGATAAGCTTGATGTTGAATCCTAATGATAAACACACAAATGTTCATTGTGTTGAATTGCCTTGGTTAACCAATTCTCTCCAGTATTTGAGCATCTCATCATCTTGCTTAATTGCAAGATATTTAGTTATTCAAGTCTTTTAGGTTTCAAGCAATCACAACACCCCCCCCCCCATTTAGGTTAATTGTAGTTAGTTAGTTTATTTACACTAGTTTTATTGGATTGCATTGGTGATTGAATACAACCATTTCCCCGAGGATCGATACCCCTTTTTACCATTATATTACGTTTTATTGCAAACAAAGGGTGTAATTTGCTTGGTGGACTTGACATCCCATCAAGTTTTAGCGCCGTTGCCGGGGAAATTGGTTATTGTTATTTGATTGTTTATGCCTAGGTCTACAAGAACGGTGAACTACTCTACAATCAGGATATTGAAAAAGAAGCAAAAAGGTTGAAAAAGTTAGCCAAACAATCAATTATGTGCCAGTGGATGACCCACCTCTCCACCGCCTCGACTGCTTCGCTCTCACCCGGATGGAATTATTGGTACCTATCAACAATCATCAGTTCTCTTGGCTCAATCATGCCAAGGAATCAGTTTACACCTTACCTAATATCAGCATATCCGCCTTTACTACCAGCGACCCCGAAACTTGGTTCTTGCCCGAAGAGTTACATGATGATGATGCAGGAGATGATGATGACATGCAGGTAGACACTGGCTATGCTTGTAGCCCATTTGAGGCCGAAGACAATTATGACCTCCTAATCCGACAATTGCCGCCACCCTCTTATGCTCAGCCTTCGGGAGCACACTTCGAGCCACACCATGAGTACCAGTCCTATCAACAACACAACGAGCCTGAACTCGAGTATCCTCTTGATATATACGCTCAGCTTGCTGCCTTGCGCCTCCAGGGCAACTGAAACACAGCATCCATTCGACGCATCAAGGAGCAGCAAGCTCGCACCAACAACTACATGGATGATCTTTGGCATCATTTTCAGCTCGAAGGCGGTTACCGTCCTCGCGGGCCTCCTCCATCTTGATCCCGATATGATCCTTCCTTACTCTCATCCTAAGCATTGAGGACAATGCTTAATTTTAAGCTTGGGGTGAGGTATTCTTATATTTTTTTTATTGCATTTAGGTTGTATATAGTTGCATTTAGAGTAAGTCATTTAGGTCATTCATAAAAATTTCAAAAATATTGCATATTTTGTTTATTTCTTTTCTAATTTTCATACTTTTTAGATGCATTCTAGTTTAAGTTCATGCATTTTTGTTCTCTCTTGTCTTCTCATCCTTACAAGTACCATAGCGCCGAGTCATAAGTATTGAATCATAGATTGGTCCCGGGTTTTGATATGAAATTCTTTGTATTGGATAAATAGGACACGTTTTGAGCCTCACATACCACTTTGACACTGCTTGTGTGGGGGTCAGATGCAGGTAGCTTCATTGGGTCTAGGTGCAGAGGGATGTGGTTGGTCAAACCGATGTGTGCGAGCAAAGAATAGCCCGATATGGTATTTTGAAGACATTGAAGACTCGCATCTTGGTTTTGGGGGGAATACCCCTTAGTACTCACGAGTCTCATCCGAGCCTTGCTTAGTTAGATTCTCACCACCTTTTTAAGATAGGTCATCATTTTTCTAGGGGTCTAGAGTAGATAGTTAGATAGATTTTGTTTATCACACCTTGCATTGAGGTGCTTGATGAACTTTGAAAAGGGTCCCCCAGTTCACATATTTTGGGACCAAGTTTTTTTTTCAGTAACACCCATGTTTGAGTCATTCCCCACCCTTTTTAGTAGATCTTGGCACATTGTCAATGATCATTAAGTGTTCATGTTAGCCTCCATCCTATGTTACATGGTGAAATTCCTTAGACCTTCCAAGAAAAAAAATGAAGAAGTTGGAAAAGTGAAGACAATAAGAAACAATGACGAAAAATGAAGAAAAAGAGCAACACAAAAAGAAGAACAAGAATCCAAGTTCAAGAATATCTTATGTTAAAAAAAAAAGATCGAGCTACAAAGAGACTGAAGACCAAATAACAGAAGTTCAAGATTGAAGATTTAAGTTGATAGGTTTAAGTTTTGGTTAAGTAGAATTTTCTTATTTTATTTTATTTTTTATTTTGGTGAGAAAAGGCTATGACGATGAGACGATGTAAAGGACAGTACAAGGGAGAAGCCTCTGAAACCGGATGTTTGCCTGGAGGCCGCGCTGCAAAACCCTATTTCGTACTATACACTTTAGCCTGACAAATGTCGGAATCATAGTGTGTGAAGAGGTGCCTTTCCTTCATGCACTATGGTCTACATTGGTGATTTAAAGTGCCCGCACTGGGCGCATCCTCTGTTTCCTTTGTCTTGCACACCACGACTACATCCAACCGTGATCTATACGGCCATCAAGTGGTTGAGAATGTGGTTTATGGCTCTAAAGCGGGGAACATTTTGAAGATGTGTAGGGTCCATGAATGACTGATTCTGACCATGTTGACTAAGTTCTATGGTATCTTTCTTTTTCCTTTTTAGTTTAGCTCATCCCGAGCTCATTTTAGTCTTGTTCTAACTTGAGGACAGGTTAGGTTTAAGCTTGGGTTGATTTGATAGCTTATTTTATTTCCTTATTTTTATTAGTTTATTTTAGTATTTTTAGCTCTTTTTATTAATATTGCATTGTATATTCTTTATTTTCTTTATCATGGATTGTGTTGGGTACTTTCTATTTTGCATGAGAAGTTTTGTAGGGTTTTGGAGCTTATTGCGGTTGTGGATTGAATGGAGTTGGGGTTTGTGGGCTTTCGAGACATTATTGGGCTTTGCGGATCCATTAAAGGAGATTTGGGCTTAAAAATCTAAAGACTTAGATAAAGTGAGCTTGTGAAGATGGGTCATGGATTGTTATTTTGGGCTTGGAGCATCCATATTCGAAGCTAAAAGTTGATTGATTAATTTGAATCATGTGGGATATGGAGGGGACCAAGGGAATCTTGGGTAGTGGGATAGTTAGTGGAGGAAAAATGAGCCAATAGCATTCCAGCAATATTTGCGCGGGTGGATTCTCACTTGCGCGGGTACCCGCGCAACTGCCCAGTTTTGGTCATTTTGGTCATTTGGCTTACCATTTACTTTGGGGGTTAGATCTTTCAGCTATGACTTCGATTTTATACCATTGGAGACCAGAAGAAAGCGATTTTGGAGCTTGAGACTCATTTCTTTTCATCTTTCCAAGTTATTGGTAGTTTCTTTATGCAATTAGCCTTTTGTGATTGTTATTCTATTGCCATGAGTGGCTAAATTCTCTATTTTGGTTAGCCTTGGCTAAAACCTTTGAATGTTTGTGGGTTTTTGAAGGATTCATGTTTATTTATCATTTATCTTATGTCTATGATTCTAGTTCATATTTCCTATGCTTGTTTAATGCTTTGATCATGAGCTTCGTACTTAAATAAGCAATTTTTGGTTTATTTCTTTGGTTTAACATTAAATCATTGAATTTACTTAGAACAAGGGCTTTATGATGGTAGAAATCATCTCTCGCTTATGAATCATAACTCCTTTATGGATGTGTATGCATTGACATCCTCTAGGAATTGGGGATTCCTTCATTCTTAAGGCTAATCAACTTCTTGGGTTCAATTGCTTCAATTGGATCTTTGATTTTGATTAAGAATGTGTGTTGTGGGCTTCCCCAACCTCCATACTACCTATGAGGAATCTTGGCATATCATGCTTCATGATTGCTATAACCAATTTGGGATGAATGATAAGCTTGATGTTGAATCCTAATGATAAACACACAAATGGTCATTGTGTTGAATTGCCTTGGTTAACCAATTCTCTCCAATATTTGAGCATCTCATCATCTTCCTTAATTGCAAGCTATTTAATTATTCAAGTCTTTTAGTTTTCAAGCAATCACAACACCCCCCCCCCTCTTTGAGTTTAATTGTAGTTAGTTAGTTTATTTACACTAGTTCTATTGGATTGCATTGGTGATTGAATACAACCATTTCCCCGAGGATCGATACCCCTTTTTTACCATTATATTACGTTTTATTGCAAACAAATGGTGTAATTTGCTTGGTGGACTTGACATCCCATCATGATGACTGAATTCATACTACTAATTGAATACATAAATTTAGTCTAGGCTCGGCTAAGCACTTTTGATGTCAGCAACAAATCATCGAGGGGCCCAAAAATATAACTTTTCTCTTTGACGAAAACGAAACGAATAAACTATGAGTATATAATCATACCTTTTACCTGTCATTTCTTACATGAAATTACATTTTATAACATCCAGTTACGGATGTGTTGATGCAAACCAATGTAAAGCAGACTTGCAAACTATGACTTATATATATATATATATATATATATATATATATATATATATATATATATATATATATATATATATATGTATATATATATATATATGTGTGTGTGTGTGTGTTTGAAAAATAGAAGATATTGTCGTATTTGAGTCACTCGTGATTGAATCCAAGAAGTAATTGCTAAGACATGTTTAACCAATACTTAAAATCCTTATTTTCCAAATACTCATGAATATTACGTGAAACACTAAATTTCTTGTCGTGGTGGTTGATATGGTATCCACAATGGGTTATTGGGTCATAACCTTGTACCTTTTCAATGATAAAAAGCATTTTGGCATACATATGAATGAACATGAAATTGTCATATTTAGTTTATATTATATTATTATCTTAACATTCCATGAAAAAGACAGAAATCACATAAATAAAACACCATGCTCTTCTTCATGTAGTTGTCCCCTCAAGACTTAGATAAATAATGAAAGATGGTATGGAATTTAGACATGAACATGTGAAGTATGTTACCCCCATAAAATACTCGCCATATAGCCTTTGACTATTTAAGCAATATTGTCTTTAAAACTGTTACCCCACATGTCTTGGATTGTAGAAACATATTAACTCAAACGTCCAAGGCAATTATCATGTAAACAATCAATGTATATAGATGCATAAGTATGAAAGGACATGTGGGGTATGTATACATCAACTTGAGTATGTTGTATTCTTTATTTTTTACTTTCAAAATAAATACACTGGTTTTATATGAGATTATTCCAAGAGAGATACAACTTTTTATATGGCACTAATTTCATTCAAATATTATTTAATATTTATTTATCCTTCCATAATTATACACACGTTTTTCTTTGTCATCAACCTAACATCTATTCAACTAACTTTAAAAAGAAATTATAACATTTTTTTATTATACGATATGTAATATGTAACGGAACATTTTATTTATTTTATAAAAAATATTTTGGGTATGGATGGGTTCATATCAGTCATCACATGACCATAGACATAACAGAGCCATGAGTTTGATTTGATTCATCGAAAGAAAATGAGGCAATTGAGTATATAATAAGAAAATAAAACTTTTAGCAAGTATAAAGGGTTAGATTATATGAAAATATTCAATCAAAAGGGTTCGACTCTGACACATCAATTAGACAAGTGAAAGATTGCTAAATATTTGCTATGATTGCATAAACCCATTTTCGGAATGAAAATAACCCACATCAAACAAAGCAAAACTGTATATGAATAACAATATAGCTGTAAAAAGAAGCATCCTATTATAGAACATAACACCCTTTTGTCATATGTTCACAAAGCTATTTAAGTTAATGGCAAATAGGATAATTTTAAAAGTCTAACGAGTAAATTGTAATATTGATTTTTGTAGTTTGCAAAAAAATTATAGATAACTTGTATCAATATGTCAAAAATTAAAATTTTCTATGAATATGGTTCTTAACCCCTTATGAGATATAAATGACTATTGTATCTTTAATTTTTATTTTCATAAATGTTTTATATTTTTAATATTATAACAATTATA